CTTGGAAGGATAGCCAAGAAGTAAGCTAATTATCTTAATAAACTTCACAAAATAAGTGGCCTCGTGAGTGCCTGGATACACGAAGGTTGACAAAAGAAACCGGGCGTCACAGGTTAGGATTGACCACCTGGTTGGTTGCCTACAGAAACAGACATAACAGAGAGTGAGCCGGGCTCAGTGAATAGTAATACATAATGAAACAATGCTCAACTTGAAACATGACATATACCAATATATATATATAAGTGCAGAGGTCACATAATTAGCCTGATTCTGTGTTTATCTTATAAGGGCCTCAGGCCCAATCTTGAACATAACAGTTGGCAGATCACATCTTAAATCATAATGGCTTAAAGCCCTTGAACTTGGTGGCACAAGGCCCTTAAACATGATGGCACAAGGCCCTTAAACAGAGTGGCACAAAGCCCTTAAACAGAGTGGTACAAAGCCCTTAAACAGAGTGGCACAAAGCCCTTGAATAATTTGGCATTAAGCCCTTGAATATACTTATGCGAACTCAAGAGGTGTCTCACACGGATTCTAGAGGTGGCTCACGTCGTAGCACTTAGTTCCGTGTAGCACTTTGTTTCATATCGTAACAACTTACATTGAATGGCCGTAGGCCCAGAGTCATATAGAAGGAAGGTATTTTATCTTTCCCATTTCTTTCTTTCCATACTTGGAACATACTTAAACATTAACATACATACTTGAATTATGAACATAGTTGCATACTTGAAACATTAACATAATTGCGTGAATGAAATGCTAATGAAAATCATTAGCCATATGTAAAGCAGATAGTGATATTACTACTCACAGTGTTGCGATGATGTGCTTGTTCTTCCCGGAGTGTGCCCTGCACACATTCAACCTTACACAATTTAGTTTCCTTTCCATATTAGATCACTTTCTGTTTCGTTTTACTTCGAAGGAATTTATACATATTAAAAGGCATCAAATACATATTTCGACAACATTAGAGGGTTCTACACGCAAAACGGAGCAAACAGTATTTTTCAGCATGAGCCGTACGTGCGGCAGTTGGCCCCGCACGTGCGGCCCTGAGGTCCCGCACGTGCCTTTTAAGCAGAACAAAAGCCTCAAAATTGCCCTTCTCCCGCACGTGCGGCCACAACCCCCGCACGTGCGGCAACACTTCCCGCACGTGCGGCCATGACTCCCGCACGTGCGGCGATTCTGCACTTCCAGTCCGAAATTTGCTATAAAAATTCCATTCTTTTAGGAGTGTTTTCAAGACTCTAAATTGAAACTTCTAGGTGTTAAATCAAGGCTAAAAAAAACATATAAATTATAAATACAACACACCAAAATTCATCTAACTTGAATTGGGCTCATGAATATAACTCAATTGATTTGGAGCAACCATAGAAGTTCATCCACATATCATTGTTCTTGAAGCTCCTAACTTTATTCACACATACATAAATATACAAAACATGGCATAAACATGGATATCAATTGATAAATAAGGAGCAAGAGGATGGTCTTAATCAAATAACTTGAATTGGTCCAACATGCACAAATAGTAGGATTATCATACCAAGTCTTCAATATACACATGTCTCCAAACTTTTATCACACTTAGCTCATACCATAGCCAAATCTTACTACTTCAAATTGAGGAGGAGAATTAGACTAGGGAAGTTGAATTCACCTTAGCTTCAATCTCAATTCCTCCTTACTCTCATCCCCTTTTCCCTTTTCTCCCAAGAAGATCCCTTTTCTCCCAAGAAGATGCTATGGAAAAATTGCTAAGTCTTACTCAATGAGGGCTTTATAAGTATATATGTATGTATAGGTTGACTAAGGACAAAATTTAATCGTTTAAGCATCCCCAAATTGAAATTTCACAGAAGTGCTTAATATTACTTAAAAATTATGCTGATCAGATATGTGGAATCAATTTCAGATAATTAAGCCTCTAAGGCTTCCAATTTCTGATCTAAGCATTCTCATGTAACAGATACTTTTCTTGTTGAACAGATAGACATCCTCAATCATATGGTTTACTTACTTAATTTAAATTTCCCATAGGATTCCACAGTAAGCATTGAAGTCACCAAAATAGGATCCGAAAATATAACAAAGAACATGTACGAGGGTCGGGTTATTACAGTTAAAGCCCTAGGCTTGTACAAGTAAATACAACAAAATAAACAAAATAAACAAAATAAAGCCCTTGCTCCAGGTCCTCCTAAGCTATTGTCTTGGCGGAGGCATTTCATCAGCACTTCAAAATGTTTTTCCCATATAGGGTGAGCCAAAGCGCAGTAGAAATAATCTAACACAGTATATGAATCTTAACAAAGATATAAGGGTGAAATGCATATGCAATACTCGTGACAAAACATTTTATATCTTTTTTCGAAACCATGCAATGCCAGGTTCATGCCACAATTCAAGAATCATTTCCTTTACATTAGAAACATGATAGTGAATCATAACTCTGGGAATCTCTAGACAAGTATCACATTTCACGAAAATTTCGTCCATGAGAAACCGTAAACCGGCACCCATGTAAGTGTAGGCTATACAAACATTATTATTGCCATTTTACAGATATTTCATCCGCGGGATTAGCACCCATATATATGCACGATTTTTAGGACTTTCATCATGGACACACATGCTAACTTATTTGATGTAACAACAACTTTCTCCCAGATTCATCCCTTTTTCTCAAGACAATATACATTTTCCAAGTATTAAATGTGTAACAATGCCAATGCAAATGAATGAGAAAATAGTTTCAATTTGCCTAATCCTCATGCAATTTCTAAAATAATCATAGCTATCCTCCACCAATAGTCCAAAACAAATATCTCTAAACAAATAGATAATTTCAATAAAGACAAACCTTCCAAATTTCAAGATGTGAGTGATAATACATATCCAACTCTACCATCATCATCCGTAACAACTCAATTTCACCATTTCAATATCAACTCCATTTATCAGTACAAAATCAACATTTGAGATTTCTAGGGAAAAAATCCTCTTTCCTTTATAAATAATTTCCCAAGGTAAAAACCCATCATTTTATCATATCTCATTAACAAATATCTATCCACAACCATTCCCAATAAACCATTTGAAAACCCCTCCTTTTGATTTCGAACCAAAACTCAAGATTTGTTCAAAAATCCACTTTTTCACAATGTTGTTTTATAAAAACAAATAACCAAATTAAAACTCATAAGGAAGTGCGGAGAATCCCTCCCTCAAGCTTTAGAAGGTGGAAGAGAAGGGCTTAAAAAAACTCAACATCAATGAAATCACGAACCACTCGGATCAAAAGGAAGTCCTTAACACGATCTACAATCTATCTCAAAGGATCAGGGTGAAAGGGTACCTCCAGGTGAGTAGATTAAAGAATCTAAGTGGGAAAAGTAGAGTTTAGAGAGAGAGAGAGAGAGAGACGAGAGGTTCACAATTAAAGATGGAGAAAGAGGAGTAACAAATGAGGAAAAAATGCTTTTGGTTGTATTTATAGTGACTAGGTATTAATAGAATAATAGCTCCAAAGTCAAATGAAAAGAACAAGTTAAAAATCTCCAAAAAGTAGGGCCCAAGCCGAACAAAAATTTGAAAAAGACTCACAGGGGTCGAACCTCGGGACAGTTGTGTCGACCCTCAAAAAGAAAAAGCTGAGACACAAATGTTGGCTACAGACAAAGATCGATCCTAGGAAACCATGGTGTCGACCTTATTTTTCAGTAGACAACCTAGAACCAAACAAGAAGGAAATGGTCGACCCTAGGAACCCATGGTGTCGACCTTATTTTTCAGTAGAAATTTCCAAGATTGAGCAGCAAGATAGTGTCGACACCACCCGGACTGGTGTCAACCCCAGAGGTCAACAACAGGACAAGTGTTGACACCACCAAGACTGGTGTCAACCCCAAATTTCAGTAGCCAAACCAAGAGCACAACAACAAGGTGGTGTCAACACCACCAAGACTGGTGTCGACCCTAGGAGCAGAACAAAACAAAGAGAATGAGGCAGTGTCGACACCACCAAGGATGGTGTTGACCCTCGAAGCAAAAACCCAACAAAAGAGAGGGAAAGACGACCGCTACGCACATGGTTTCCTAGATTCAAAAGTAATAAATGGGTTGGGTCTAAGCCTGGATCGCTATACCTACTATCTTTTATTTTTATTATATTTTTTAGTCTTTCCAAATTCTTACCTAAATTCATGAATCAAACATAACATAAAGTTGGGTACATTACTTTTTCAAATTTCTTTTTTTTTTTTGAAAATTTTGAATTAATATTAATTTTTAAAGTTGTGTACTACAAACTTTTATCACACATGTCTCTCAACATAATAATTATTGAAATTTATTTTAGTTGTTATCTCAAAGATTAGTGATAGAGTAAAAAAAAAATGTGTAGGTCTTAAAGTAAAAATTTTATGTTAGAATTTGTTCAAATGTAATTATCTTAATATTTATAAATATTTTTTTATTGATTGATAAAAAGCACGATAAACATGAAGATGATGATGATGATGATGATGATGATGATGATTATTATTATTATTATTATTATTATTATTATTATTATTATTATTATGATGATGATGATGTTGGGTTGTTAAAATATGATATATTATAGGCTTAAATCAAGAATTGTTAGAAAAAAAATTGACCTGAACTAGATTTTCTAGGCTTATTTTTAATATTTAATCTAATATTGGAACTCTAAACTAGCCCATACTGGTCAGGAATTAATAAAGACAATTTTTAATAATCAAGACAATTTTTAAGGAAAAATTAGTCTAACATCCTTATCTAATTTTTGATAATGAAAAATGTCCACAATATTATTTTTTGTAGCTTAAGCTCCCTCAACAACACACCACACCACAACACACTTTAATTCAAGATTTATCATTGTCACTAGTGCCAAAGATTGGAAAGAGAAAGAGAGACACAACAACAATAAAGTAAAACAACTGAGAGAGAGATACCCATCGAACAGGCTCTCTCGCGCCATGGTGGCTCAGGTGAAAAAACCAGGCTCTCTCGGTGGTGGTGATGGTGGTGGTGACCTCGATCGCAACTACTTAAAGAAGACCAAGACCTTGATTTGTGCTCTCAATCTTCTCTATCACAACCACCCTCTTCCCCAAGACGTCTTCGATTCCGTTTCCACCATCTATTTTAATAGTAACAACAATGACGGTGGAGACGCTGCGGAGGGCATCATCGTTGACGGCGATGGTGATGGTGTTGGTGGATCTAATGTTAATGTTGTTCAGAAGGTTTCGGTGAGATATACTCATCTTTAAATTTGAGTTTTCTTGGAATTTGGATCAATTTTGTGGCTGTGATTTGAAAATCTAGGGTTATTTGCTGTTCTGAATTTTGGGTTTTGGTTTTTTCTCGTTGTGTTTGATGGGTTTTCATTTTTTTTTTTTTACTTTTTACACTGAATCGAAATTTTTGTCCTAAAAAATAAAATTTAGGAGTAAAGATTTTATTTAGTTTCTTTTCGCCTTGAATGCACATAGAGATATCTAGGAAGAAAATTTAACATGTTATTTTCAGTTTAGATGTTGTCACACCCCACTTTTTTATACTCGAATAACATTAACAAAAATCCATTTCCATTAAGAACAAGTAGAACTATACATACATTACCTCCATAAACAAATGAAAGTCTTCTTAATCGTACATATATAGAATGCAATAGAAATTACATGTAAACAAAATGCCTATAGGCTTACATCTTTACAATAAAAGTAAAGGTTTAACCCTTTTACAACAATGGCGTTTCACCAACAAGTATAGGCCCCGTGGCCAACAATTAAGGAAGATCACTGATCTTGAATCATCTCTCAACTTGCACCTGAAAAATATTAACAACGTGGGATGAACATAAAGTCTTGTAGAGATCCCAACATAATCCTAAACAATAACAACATACAGATATCTATGATCATGAATGCACCATGACATACAATATAAATAATGTGAGAGTTTAATATTCAAAACATACTTATATAAGTATATTTTCTCCAAAAACATCCATTTGAACAGTATAAGGTGTAAAACCATTTGTTTTCTTTCCAATTGTCCAATTTAGTTCCAAAAATATTTCTTCAACACATACAACCTTGGTTATTTAAACCTCCACGTTAATATAAAAGAATTTTGTCTCCACATTTGTTTTGAAAGCACGTTCACAGATGCAAGTCACAACCCAAGCCCATAACTCAACCCACTGCACACACTTATGCAACAGCACATTTACTATTTTCCCTGGCCACAGGCCCAAGGGTAAGGAGCACCCATAACAAAAATACCGAGAAATATATATTTCTAAATATAATTAACTAAACATAATACATACTTCCATTTCCACCGGCCTATAGCGCGAATGACAAATGATACAACCCACATAACACATAATGTTTTACCGGTCTCACCCAGAAAATAATGACCCTAAGGTCACACTTTATCGGGTGCAAACTGGAAGGTAGAGGAACCTATCATAAGGCACCACGCTTTACCAGCTTAATACGGAGAGAAACAAACTTCCTTTCACACTTTACCAGGTGCAAACTGGAAGGGACGAGGAATCTTTGTCAAGGCGTTATGCTTTACAGGTCTCACTCGGAGGGAAGCGAACCCCCAAACAATAAAACAACAATAACACAACATGCTAAACTACATAATATCATACAAGTGTAATACAATACATCATCTACTCAACAACAACAATGTCATCCTCCACCAATGACCAAGGATAAAGCCTCTAAATCGATAAATAGATACACGACTCATACAATATACATTCATAGCTAATTCCACTTTTTCAAATCAACCATTTCTCATTTCATTTCATAAAAGAGTTATACATGCCATTTTATTTCCAAAACTAAATCCGTTGTTTTAAAACCATCAACTACGTCCACTCTTGTCCAAAACTTCAACTTTTTCCTTAAACCAATCCAATTCATAAAATATAACTACAATGCAAAATTAATCAAAACCACTACTAAACCTACTTAAGTTTCATTTTAATAACTACACCACTATTCCAATTTTTTAACACATAACTCGGTTATTACACATCTTCACCCTTTTAGGAATAATTAAGCCTATAATAATAAATTAGGGTTTTTCCGCACTCTCAACACAAACATGCTCAACTACCTCTCAATTAACTGAAACAACCACAACTCATCCAATTTCAACTCCCAAAGATCCAAACCCTAAACCCCTATCATGCTTTTTGTAAAATTTCTTAACAAACCTGTTTTTAAATGCCATAAAAACTACCAAATGTATATCTATAATGAGGTATTCAAAAGGAGCAAAGAAATTCCTACCTCTTGAAACGAAAAGGAGACAACCCAAAAATTACCGATGATGAAATGATGATCCACTCATATTAAATGGAAGCCCTCGCCAAACTCTACTGTAACGATTCTGGTTTAGACTCAACCCGTTAACTGTTATGGATCTGGGATTTCTTATCTTAAATGGTTGTTCATACCCTTATATATCCTATTCTTGATTGAGTTTGGTTATTTAGATGTCGTTGTTGCGTTTGGAACTAGTTGGGAGTTCGTTTTTTAAAGGAGTCTTTGCCCAAATTTTGGTCAGTTCGCTCGAGTGGTCCTTTGGTCTCTCGAGTGGTCTTTGAAAACTCTCAATATTTTTACAGGCCTACAAAAGTACTAGAAGGGTGGTGTTTTTAGCTCGAGCGGTATATTAGTTCATAAAACTTCTGGGAGGGTGTCATTGTGCGCTCGAGTGGTAACTTTGTTCGCTCGAGTGGTCTCACTTATTGTGTCTGGTCGCTCGAGCGGTGTTTTAGTCGCTTGAGCGATCTGCGCGTATATTAGTTTGTAAAACTCACATTTTCAGTCATTTTCTCGTCTCACACTCTCTCTCTACTGTAGCGACCCTAATTTTTTGTAAGTCTTTATTTATTTATTTATTATTATTACGATTTTATTTTATTATTGGTTTTATTAATGGTGTGGTTATATGAAAATTTAATGTGTTATTCTGTTAATTTAATGTGATATTTAATGAATTTAATGTGGTAATTAATTAATTTAAAGTGTTATTTAATTATATATAATTAATCTAAATATTTATATTTGTTTTTTATATAAAAAAAAAAGAAGAAATGTTTATTTATATTTGTTATTTACATATATATATATAATATCGTATATTTATATTTATATTATATATATTATAATTTGTTGTATAATATTATATAATAGTTTATTAGGTTGTTATGGATGAGATTTAGGTTATGTATATATATATATATTATGTAGTCAATTAGGTTATAAACAAAAAGAAAGAAAAAGAGAGTGCTGTGTGTGTGGAGAGAGAGAGAGAGAGAGAAAAAAAGAAAACCAAGATCAAGAAAAGAAAAACCAAGAAAGCCGAGAGAAAGAGGAACACCGGAAAAAAAGAAAGAGGGAAAAAATAAAAGGAATAGGGTTTTGTTTTAGTGGCTCCTTTAGTTCTCCAAATATTTTATTGATCTTCAAAATAATATTGTGAGTACAAAATTTATTTTTCTTTTTTATATTTGATTTGTTATATTTATTTATTTGTATTTATTTAATATTGATTTGATTTTTGTATTGATATGAAGATGACAGATTGATTTTAATTGTTTTGATTAATTGGGTATGTAAGGTTTATGATTTTTTATATAGCGATCCCGGTTTGCCTTTTTCTTTAACTGTTGTACCCAGACTTAGGTTCCGTGGAGTTGGTTGTTGTTTATGCCTTGTTTACATCCTTTAATCCTTTTATTGAGTCTTAGGTTGGTTGAGCTTAGGAACCAAGTCTAGTTGCCCAGATTTTGGCTTGTACGCTCGAGCGGGGGTTTGGGCGCTCGAGCGGGGAATACACCCATCCAGTATGTCCTGTGTAGTGTTGGACGCTCGAGCGGGGGATTGGCCGCTTGAGCGGGAGGTTGTGAGTGACGCTCGAGCGGGGAGTTAGGTGCTCGAGCGGGGACCTGTCTGCAAAAAACTTCTGGGAGTGTGCATTCGCCGCTCGAGCGGGAG